TTAATCCACAATGTTTAATGACTTTGCAGGTTTACCTATATCTCTATAGCCTAAACCCTAAGAATCTTGCAGCTCTCTCTTAATAGTCAACAAGATTAGAGACAATTTGAATCTTTATTCAACAACTAATGGAAAACTGCATAGCAAAGTTTAGGCAAACATGGTTACATTACAATACAGGTACTCTCTCACTCAATCATAGATAATTTAATCCATACTTGAATGAAAATAAAAAACAAAGAAAGATAAAGACTCCGTAGAACTAAGATAGAATAAATAGGGATGATGTTGTAGCTCTGCTCTCGCAACAATTGTTGGCTCCACCACCATCCATTGTCTCTCAGCCACTGGGGTAGTGCAGGGACCAACCGAATCCAATGATCTCTTTACTGGACCCTATCTCCACCTTTTAACTCATTAGATCTCTCTTAACAAACCCTCAAAATCTCCCAAGTATTTCACAGCTTCAAAACCTTGTGAAGCTCTTAAAAGCTTGGTTTAGACGTATGTAGGCTCTTCTTTATATAGAACATAGTGACTTGGGCGCTAAGTAGCTCTTCTAATCCCTCAAATAAGCTTCCAATCTGATCTTGATTTGTAAAGATTTTGATATGCTTTATTGAAGATACAGATTTGCAAAGATACTTGCTTGATTTAATACAGAGCATAGTAACTTGGGCACCAAGTAGCTCTTTAAATCCTTATAATCTTCCAATCTGATCTTGATTTGATTGAAGAGTCTATCCTTATTTGTTGAAGAAATGGTTGCTAAGATACCGGTCATGGGGACTTGGGCGCTAAGTAATTATTTTCCTTTGTTAAATTAGGATTCCAATGGCCAGTTGTTGCTGATGTCTTCAATGCAACGTGTCACTTGAGCCCGATTGCTACAGCTCTGACCCCCAACAAAAATATCAGAGACAATGAATTTCTCTAGCACTCAAAATAACACTAGATATCAATGCTTATCATATTTTTCATTCAAAGCATAAAGAGACCAGATTCATGCAATAATCATGTAATTCTAAGAGAATTATGCATGTATATGGCACCAAATCGTCAAATATAAGCCTAAAAATAACTCTCCACAAGAGAGTTATCAATCAGCCACTTCAATCCTCCAGCCACATTTGGGAAAAGGCCGTAATAGATCCATTCCCCACTGATAAAATAGCCAAGGGAAATTTAATTCTTCTAGAGAAGCATGATAGATATTAGTGTGCTTTTAACATCTGATACAATATCGCACATGTTTTTTAGCATCCTCTTCAATCGTAGGCAGAAATATCCCGAACGGAGGAGTAAGATAAGGATTTCCCTTCCATGTGGTGCCCATTAATTCTTTCATGTACTTCGATGATTGCGTACTGAGCTTCATAGGGTGCCAAGCATTTAAGCAGGTGAGTAAAAAATCATTTCTTGTAAAGTTGGTTATACATAATGGTGTAATAAGAAAAATTTCTAACTAATTTCTTCATGAGGTGGTCATCTCGCAGAAGTTCACCACTTTCAAGATATGCTTTGATGGGAGTAATCCATGTTGGCTTATTTTCTCCACCTTCATTCTCTTCTTCAGTCATTGGAGCTGCACTGGTTGAGGGTAAAGCTTTGTGTTTGCAGATAACCATGATCGCGCTTGGATGTGGTACGTTCTGTTGTATTAATGACCTGTTGTTCCCTAGACTTTTGATGCTAGCTAACTTTGACAGAATGTATGCCCTAGCATTCTTTTCACGCAGGATATGTTCAAATATCACATTTTCAAAAGTCAGTAATAGGAAGTGTACTTTTTCAAGATATTTGGCCATTAGCACTTCTTTTGCCTGGTAAATTCTTTGGCCATTGCCAATCCCGCAATCATAGCTTCATATTCAATTTGATTGTTGGATGCTTTAAATTCAAACTTGAGTGAAATGTTCAACTGTAACCCCTTGGGAGTTTTTAACAATGACTCAAACACCAATACCCTTAATGTTGGAGGATACATTCGTCATTCAATGTTGCATTATTGTGATAAGTCATCTCAACCACGAAGTCAGCGAGAGCCTAAGCCTTGATGGGTTGTCTTGGTTCATACATGATGTTATATTCAGAAAGTTCAATGGACCGAGTTATCATTCTTCCTGCAAGGCTAGGTTTATGCAGAGTTTGTCGAATAGTTTGGTTGTTGCGCACCTTTTATCTGGTGCCCTTGAAAGTAACGTCTGAGCATACAAGATGTTATAATTAATGCAAATGCTACTTTTTTCAATTTGATGACATCGCAGTTCAGGTCCTTGTAGCACTTTACTCATAAAGTACACAAGCTGCCCATCCGTTGACTCCTTTATCAAAACTGAGCTGATAACTTCAGAGTTCACGATGAGATAAAGGACTAATGGTTCGTCCGGTTCAGGTTTCACCAAGATTGGAAAATTAGCAAGATGCCTTTTGATCTTAGTGAAGTCTTGTTCACAATTCGGACTCCATTCAAAAGTAGTTTGCTTTCTTAAGAGTTTGAACATAGGCAAGAATTTTTGATCTGATGCTGATATGAATCTTATCAATGCAATGATTCTACCTGTCAGTTGTTGTACCTCTTTAATATTCCTTGGGTTGACCATATCCATTGCTTTGCATTTGTCTTGATAGACTTCAATTCCTATATGTGTTGACATAAAGCCCAAGAATTATCCCTCGGGTACCGCAAATAGAGATATTATACTTGGGTTAAATGCCTCTGTATTTATAGTATTGAGCGCCTTGTTTCATACCGCCTTTAATTAGTGGAAAGGAATGTCCGCTCTCAGGCTATTCATTAATTGGCAAGCCTATTCAGTGGATGCAGTGGCAAGCAGGAGCTGCCTTTCATTCATTGGGTTCACATGGTAGCTGATGTGCCTCTGGCATATGTAGTTTTCCAAGCTAAAAATGATAAGGATTAAGTCATAAAAGAGCAGTTTATTTACATATTTTCTTAGTATGTTGACTTTTTCATTTCAATGATATTTCTCACCTATTTGTTGTGTTTATATAGGGAGAAAGAAAGAGAAAACAAAATTTCAAAAGAATGTTGGCGCGAATCTACAAGGGCGTGGGTTCTGAGCTGCACCGTGAAGACCTGGGCCATTTTCCAGAAAAGTGGCGCAATCTGGCACCACTATGGTGCGATCCTGCGCCAGCCAGATTCCCCTGGGCCACTTACTAAAGAAGTGGCGCCATTGTGGCGCGATCCTGCGCCAGTTAGGTTGCAGGCCTACGTTCCAGAGAAGTGGCACGATCCCGCGCCAGTTTGCGAGAAAAATCACCGTGTTTTGAAAGGGCAATTTTGGAAGAAGCGAACCAGGATTATAAAAAAAACGCTCTGAGGGTTTATTCAGGACACTTTTCGACGACAAAGAAAAACAAGGATTCCGGAATGAGGAGAGGAACAGAGGATTGTTCTTAGTCTTCTTTTTGTAATTACATTCTTTCATCTTTATCTTTTATAATTTTATGTCAGCCATGATCATGGTTGACTAATATTCTTTTTGCAATGGATTGAATTATAGTTGCTCGTTTATTTTAATATATTTTATTTTTACCCTGTGCGTATTGTTTATTATTTCTGTTAGACTTGATCAACCTAATAGGAGATAATAATTTAGGAATTAGGGCTCGCAATAGGAATATTGAGGTTTTTGATTCTGAAAGGGGGTAAGGTAACAATTTATGCATGCTCTAGGGATAGACTTGTGTGAGTTGCAGTCGTTTGATTTATCGTGATTAATGCTTAATTCATGCGGGATTGCTAAGGAATTAGGGTTCCAATTGGATTAAAGGGTTAGATTACCAAGGGATTGAGATTTAACTAATTATTTTTAGATGATAATTTGTTTGAGTTATTAAATTGAATGAGCGTTGTCAATTAATCCAAAGTTTAAAGTGGGGATCATATGGTGCGTGTACCTTAGCTGCAATGCTTTTTATTATTCTCTCAAAAATCCAATTTATTTTTACCATTGCTTATTAAATTGAAAATTCTATATTTTAAATATTTGTCTTTATTTTACCATCAATTCACTATTTTCCTAAACAACCAAATTTTCCAACTTAAGGGGACTGGTTATTGTGGTACTTGGTTTACAATTCCTGTGGGGACGATACTCTTCTCATTCATTATATTACTTGTGCGATCGGTACACTTGCCGGTAAGCATCAGTAGCCAATTTGCCTGAGCTGCTGATCTCATTAACGATGATTCCTTTCAAGTTAAGTCACGTTGGTTTGTTAATCAAGTAAGTGAGATCCCATGCTTTTTACGCAGGATGAATTGCCTTTGTAGCTAAGTCAAAAGGGGGTCTCTGAACCCTTTGGAACTTTATGGGATTAAGCCTCTATCTCACATGTAATAGGTCCAGATCAGATGTCAATTGAATAAAATCATATTTATTGAATTTCCTAGTTGTTTCTTGGTTTAGTAAAAATTTGGAATAATTAAGTTTAAAACATCGTAATAATTATCATATAAATTTAAATGTAAATTGTCCACTTTGTGCCTGTGGGGTGCTTTTTGAATAAGTTTTTTTTTCCCTACAAAACAAAAAAGAACAAGCTTCGTCAATTATATTTTGTTTCTTACCAAAATACTTTCCATTCCATTTTTTTATGTGAGTTTCTCTTCAGCCTCTAATCAAGCTATTAATTAATTACAGACCAAATTATATATATACTTACATCTTAATTAATCAGAACAAAATATAATTGCTGGTTAAACTTTAATTTTGCATACAATCAAAGTTTGTACTTCATCGACTTGAAGAGGAGGACTTAAATAATTGTTCACTTCAAATTTGGGTATTATGTGAAGAATCATGTTAATTTTTAATTTATAATTATTAAGATCAGAGTCCTATCTCGGGAAAAATCTTTCCCTTATCAAGGTGCATGCTTGCAACAATGGGCAAGTGGAAAAGATGGCATTGTGTCCGACATGTACCCTTTATGATTCTGTGTCCTGGTTAGCTATTTCTTCTTTTTCGTTATTCTCGGTGTGTTTGTTCAATTTTTGATGAATTATCATGATCCTTGCAAACAATATTGCCCTCAATACAGGAATGGTTGTTGTTGCTGCGATTACTTTTATCATGATCTACAGTCGGGAACGTGACAACAACCTCAATTTCTTCAATTCCTAGAGTGATTTGTGAGTGAGCCACCTTTTTTACTTCTTTGATCTTACCCCACAACACCATGTACAATTCAATCACAATTAGCATTGCTCCAATTACACTAATTAAACATGTTTCAAAAATCAAACCATGAATATGTCAGTTGACCCTGATCATAATATAAAAGTCAATCACAATATATTTAGGTGCACTGGAATTTGAGGTATACTTACCTTCCTATGTATAGGTTCTCATCCAACATTAAGGAACCAACAATGGCAACAAGCACAAGCACAAAAGGGTTGAAAACAGAGGCATACAGTGAGCCTCTCATCTTTATACACCATGCAATGACAATAACCATTATTCCAGAGGCCAAAATACACTGTAACAACACCACCAATTCACCTTAGCACATGTCATTTTATTATCAATTATAATTCAATACCTTACTTCACAAAACCAATGATTTAATCGCTAATTATTTAGTTAACATATCAAAAATGCTGCAGTGAGAAGCTTAATATTCCGACCCAACCTCCATTGGCTCCAATCCTTCTCAACACAAAGGGAAAAAATAGTAGATTGTATTGCCCCCATTAAGTTCATCAAAGCTGTACTCGAGAGATGGCTTGGGTATTCTTTGCTCATCTTAAGCTGCAGTGTCAAATGACTGATATCTATGTACTTATGCTAACCTGAATGATAAGCCATAATGCAAAACAGAAGCAGCTTCCAAGACCACAAAAAATACCAAGCAATTTACTACCAGAGTTACCATTTAGTGTTCCCGTGTGGCCATTTTTATGCAAAAGGTTAATGTGGAAGGTCCAAATGTTAATTTCTACGCCTTGGAGAAAGGTCAGCATCATTGCCCCGCAACTCCTGTTATCGTTTCTAAAAATAGCTTGTTTTTATGATATAGCAATTTTCATATCTTCTTTTTCTAAAAAAAAGATATGAATTTTGTTTCTTTTGTTGTAACATTATAGACCTACTAGTGTTAGGACAATGGGGGAGATTGGACACTGGTAAATTTGAATAAGCTTTTTTTAAAAGTAGCTTGTTTTTATAGTATAGCTTATTTTCATATCTTCTTTTTGTAAAAAAATAACCCACCAGGAAAGAGAGGGAAAGGGTGCGCTTTACCGGGGGCGGGTAATGGCTGCCATAAGATTTCATTGTCGTCGTACTCCAGTTCGTCCATCGGAATTGCGAGAATACTTGGGATAAGACGAGACAGATAACGATGACGAAAGAACAGTGAGGAGAGAGACAAGAGAGAATTGGGATTAATCGAGGCCGTTCAATCTACAATTAATTTAATGATGGTTAGATTGGTGATAATATTTATCATCCTTGCCACTGGAAAGTATGATAAATATTTGTGGTGGTAACTAATAAGTATAACCGATCGTTGAGTTAAGTGTTTTAAAACTCGAATGAGGTACTAGCACGTTCACACACATGGTGGTAAATATAACCCACCTTTGAGATATGTGTTTTAAAACACGAATAGGTTATCAATTCGGTTGAAATAATGAGTTACTAGTTTAATCGAGTTCAACTGAATATATTATTCATATATTTAAAAAATATAAATATATTATTTATGTTAAAAATTACTATTAATAATATTTTTGAATAGACAGTTGAACACCAACCACAAATAACATTTGTTTGCATAAATAATGAATTCCTTCAGAAAAAATGATTTGCTACTCAAGTCTACATATATATCGTGAGAAAGTTAAATGTTGTCCGTACAAGTTGCCACCATTGTTTATTAATTTCTAAAGTTTATATGTAAGTAAATTCTAAGTTTCTTGTGCAGTGGGCAGTAGTTGATATTATCATTATTTTTTAAAAAATATATAGTATCATTATTTTGAAAAACAATATTTGATTTTTGACTTTTGACTTTTGACTTTTGTTTTTATAAAAAAACTAAAATTTTTAGCTTAAAAAAATAGATTTTCGACTTTTTTTATGACATGTTTTTTTTAAAAACAGACATCCAAACAGATTTTTTTTTTAGAAGTGCCATTTTTTTTTCTTGGAAAAAAGCAAGTTTTGGAGAGAGAAAAAACGCATTCAAACAGACTCTAAGTATTTAAAAAAAAAGTAATTTAATTAAAGGTAACAAAAAATATAATTAATATAATTTATTAATTGAGTAAACACCATTTTTGGTCCCTAACAAAAAATACGATCCCCACTTTAGTGTCTTACAAAAATAAATTAGTCAGTTAGTCCCTAACAAAGTCAAAGTGGACCCATTTTAGTCCTTTTGAGGGACTAATATTGATCTTTTTTGATTTTGTGAGGGACCACGATTTCAATTAAATGAGTCCACTTTGAATTTGTTAGGGACTAACTGACTAATTTATTTTTGTAAGGGACTAAAGTGGGGGACCGTGTTTTTTGTTAGGGACCAAAAATGATATTTACTCTTATTAATTTTTTAGATTTTATTCAATTAAATCAAATGATAAAAACTTTGATACACAATTGCACTATATATTTGTTTTTGGATACAAGTAACGGTGGCACTAAGATTTGAGTCTATGACTTTATACAAATTACTCAAACTTTTCATCACTTGACGAATCGCAGTGGCACTGTATTTTTTATTACATATGCTGACGATAGTTTGCTCATTACTATCTGAAATAATAAATTAGTTTCGGCTAAAACTTTAAGACATTGGGTTCATAAGTCCTTACACTTATATAGATTGTAGTTAGCTTATTATCAACCAATTTGAGATTTCATCACACATGAATATCCCAATAATAATGGAGTATTTGATTTCTAAATTTCCATTTAATAAATAAACATCAAATTCGAAAGTTGTTAGTAAAAAATCGAAAGTAATAGAACCATATTTATTGAAATCATATTTATAGATTTCATCACGAGAATAGATGTCAATTTGATGAAATCATATTTATTGAATTTCACTATATTTATAGTTGTTTCTTGGTTTAGTAAAAGTTTGGAATAATTAAGTTAAAAGTATCATAATAATTATTATAGAAATTTAAATGTGATCTGGATAAAACTACAATAGGCCCACAAAGGGTTCAAAGCCTAAAATAAGCCCAGAGACATATGGCCCAATAAAAATGCACGATATCCCCATTGCGCATAAAAAACTCAAAGGCGCAATGGCCTCATTGTGCCTATCCGCCTAAGACATGACTTAAGAACTAAGGAAGAAGTCCATAACACAACAATAAATCACCGCGCCATAGACCAACACACGAAAGACAACTCCAACTTACCACTACTCTAAGAAGGTAGCCCATCTTATAGGATTATAGCCTGGAGGGCACCAGCTGAGACAAATAAGTTTGCAGCCCAGGGACAGCCAATCAAAAGGCATACCGCCTACCAAAGGCGGCATCAAACTTAATATATAAACAAAGGGTACACATCCAGGTACAATAATCTAATTCCAGTAAGAATACAACATAAGCCTAGTTTTGATACTGACTTAAGTGTCGGAGTGTCATTGCAGGTACCCCCAGCCAGAGTCATTGCGCTAAGGGAGATCTACATCAATTCACCACATAGCAGCCATCACCAGCCCAAGAAGTATATTACCCAACTTAAAGTATTCACTCTTCAATCGTGTGTGATTAGGCTCAATACATATAGGCCTGCCCATATTGTACTGGACTGATCAAAATGTAAATTCACTTTGTGTGGGGTCTCTTTTTTAATGAGTTTTCTTTTATTTCCTAGAGAACAAAAAAGAATACGCTTCATCAATTATATTTTGTTTCTTGACAAAATAGTTTCCATTCCAATTTTATGTGAGTTGCTCTTCAGCCTCTAATCAAGCTATCGATTAATTGCAAACCAAATTATATATATACTTACATCTTAATTAATCAGAACAAAATATAATCGCCAGTTAAACTATAATTTTGCATATAATCGAAGTTTGTACTTCATCGACTTGAAGAGGAGGACTTAAATAATTGATCACTTAGCATTGTGATATTATGTGAAGAATCATGTTTATTTTTAATTTACAACTATTAAGAGTGTCCTATCTCGATGGGAACACAAGCAAAATCTTTCCATTTTCAAGGGGTCTGCCTGCAACAATGGGCAAGTGGAAAAAATGACATTGTGTTCAACATGTGCCCTTCATGATTCTGTGTTCTTGTTAGCTATTTCTTCTTTTCCGTTATTCTCGGTGTCTTGTACTTCGTGTTCAGTTTTTGATGAATGATCATGATCCATGCAAACAATATTGCCCTCAATACAGGAATGGCTGCTGCTGCAGCAGTTTTTGTCATTATCTACGATCGTGGACGTGACAACAACCTCAATTTCTTCAATTCCTGGAGTGATTTCTAAGTGAGTCACCTTTTTCTTTTCTTTGCTCTTACCCCACAACACCATGTATAATCCAATCACAACTAGCACTGCTCCAATTACACTAATTAAACATGTTTCAAAAATGAAACCATGAATATGAAAGTTGAACCTGATCATAAATTAAATGACAATCACAATATATTTAGGTGCACTAGGATTTGGTGTATATATACCTTCCTATGTATAGGTTCTCATCCAACATTAAGGAACCGGCAATGGCAACAAGCACAAGCACAAGAGGGTTGAAAACAGAGGCATACAATGGGCCTCTCATCCTGACACACCATGCAATGGCAATAACCATTATTCCAGAGGCCAAAATACCCTGGAACAACACCACCAATTCACCTTAGCACATGTCATTTTATTATCAATCATAATTACAATACCTATTTCACAAAACCAATGATTTAATTGCTAATTAGGTAATTAACATACCGAAAATGCTGCAGTGAGAAGCCTAATATTCCAACCCAACCTCCATTGGCTCCAATCCTTCTCAACACAAAGTGCAAAAACAGTAGATTGTATTGCCCCCATTAAGTTCATCAAAGCTGTACTCGAGAGATGGCTTGGGAATTCTTTGCTCATCTTAGCCTGCAGCGTCATATGGTGATTAATGACAAGAGAACCATAAATTCAAAGAAAGTTCATTTAAGCAAATAAAATAAATGATTCTAAGTACTTATGCTAACCTGAATGATGAGCCATAATGCAAAAGAGAAGGAGCTTCCAAGACCACAAAAAATACCAAGCAATTTACTACCAGAGTCACCATTTAGTGTTCCGGTGTTGCCATTTTTATGCAAAAGATTAATGTGGAAGGTCCAAATGTTAATTTCTACACCTTTGAGAAAGGTCAGCATCATTGCCCCACCAACTCCTGTTATCGTTCCTAACACCTTAGTTTTGCCTGCTACCGTTTGCAAATTTAATCTTTCGAAACTAAGGAAAAAACAATGTGAGTTATCAGTAATCATCTATCTCATAATAGGTGTGCTGAACATTAACAGCTTTGTTGAAATGAAAACTTGGAAGCTATATAATAGGTGTGCTGATTGGTGTGAATACGTACCCGCAGGCGACAGCCAAGATAAAAGTGACGGCAGGAATGAGATTATAAACAGCGGAAGCAAATGTTGCTGATATCAATGCCAAGGACTCGTAGTAAAGGTTTTGGAATAAACTTCCGCTGTGCGATCATGTGAAAAATTTGTTAAAATCTTTACTTACGTTACCACCAATAACACTTTTATCTCAAATTAATTGAGATTTGTAGTAGATAAATTCAAATAAAAGATATGAAGAGATTAAAAAAGATATATATATATATATATATATATATATATATATATATATATATATATATATATATATATAGGGACAGATTCTTTGTACACCAGTATAAGACTAACAAGTCTTACACCACATCTTAATCGTTGATGGACGGAAATCATCGACTGATATTTGTTGTGTAATTAATGATTAATTAATATTTATTAATTCGTATAACTACCTAAATTATAACTGTTGGATGCACGAAAATAACGGTAGAGATATGGTGTAAGATTTATTAATCTTACACCAGTGTAAAATGATTGAGTAAATATTATTGAGTGAAGTCTTATCGGTAAGATATAGTGTAATTTGTATGTTTATAAGAAAAAAGTTTGTCAATATAATCATATATATATATATATATATGAGTTCGCTTTTTCTACAGTCAATGTAGATAACTTATCTACATTGAGCCTAAAATGACGTCGTTTTGAGGCGAGAATCAAGGTATTTTTGTAATTATAATTTATTTCAGGGTTATAATAGTCTTTTTCATTATAATTTTTTAATTTTTTAACCCAAAACGACGTCTTTTTGGGAGCGAATGTAGATAACTTATCTACATTCACTTTAGAAATGTTAAAGCCTATATATATATATAGGTATATATATATATACTTTGCAGTAGTGGCAGAAAAGTAATGCCTACTACAAAGATATTATTTTAAATTAAAGTGGAATCCATTAATGGAAGTAAAAAAAAAGGATCTTGCCTAATTATTCCGAGAAATACACTGTGTGTGGTGGAAAAATAGTTTGTCAATATATATATATATATATATATATATATATATATACTTTGCAGCGGTGGCAGAAAAGTAATGTCTGCTACAAAGATATTATTTTAAATTAAAGTGGAACCCATTAATGCAACTAAAAAAAAAGGATTTTGCCTAATTATTTAGAGAAATACACTGTGTGTGGCGGAAAAATAGTTTGTCAATATAATCATATATATATACTTTGCAGCGGTGGCAGAAAAGTAATGCCTGCTACAAAGATATTATTTTAAATTAAAGTGGAACCCATTAATGCAAGTAAAAAAAGGATTTTTTGCTTACCAAAAAAAAAAAAAAAATTTGCCTATTTATTATGAGAAATATACTGTGTGTGGCATAAAGAATTTTCCTGTAATAAAAGCAGAAATATATATATTTATATATATATACATATATATATATATATATATATATATATATATATGGGTAGGATCCTTTAACACCGGTGTCAAATTTAAAGTTTGACACCTCATGTGAGAGCTATTAGATTAAAAAAGATATCAGGATCCTACCCTATATATATGTGTGTGTATTAAAAGTAAAAATAAAAACCAAATGGTGGTAGCTCAGTTGGCGCATGGGAGCTAAGCAGGTGGGGGTGAGAGCATGTGTTTGAATCTCCTCAGTACCACCTTTGGGAGGGGTTTAAAGCTTTAATCCTGGACCCGTCCCGAATCGGATTAGTTGCGAAGCAATGAACTGATTGAAATATTTTCAAAAAAAAATAAAAATTGGGAAATGGGAAAAGATATAAAGAAAAAGAAGGAGAAAATAAGGAGAGGAGAGAGATGAAGAGCAAAAGAATTAAAAGTATATCACTTCGAACATAAAAATAATAACGGATCTAACCCTCCTTCATTCTTATAACATTTTTTCGTTCTGTCGTAAGACATACGGTCAACTAATCTATATCTTACTCCATCTAAAAAAACCACTTATCGTACAATATATTAGCAATTTACATTCGTGCCTAAAAAACACTTTACTTACCCAAATAGGCCACAAAAGAATGACATAAAAACCACCCTCCAAGTTAGCTTTGGTCTGTTCTTCCTGTAAAAAGTAATAAAGGAAAAACCATTTTAGCCTAGCTAGTTATTAATATTGTACACCTGTATTCTGGTAACTTTATAGTGAAAAGTGTAGGAACAAAATGAAGTTGTGGGGATATGGACCTTTCAAAAATAAGAGGAAGTGGAACAGTGCATGCTGCTGCGAAGATGAGACGGTAAGCAGTAACTACTCTGACGCTCATTCCATCGTTTATGGCAAGCTTGTAGAGCACATTCGCCGTAGCAATTACAATCTGCACCACCAACATCAAGAGGGCTGGCTTCAACCCATGCATTGTTTTCCTTATATCTCTCATTTTTTGTGTAATCTTAATATATATGTCTATCAAAACTTGCTGCTGCAAAATGGTTTGTGATGGAAGAAAATAAAGAACGATATGGAGTTATGGAATTGTATCCCAGCGATGGTTTGTTTATATAAAGAAATGTGTAGTGTGCACAGAGATTTCCAAATTCAAAGAAGCACGCTTTTATTCCAAGTCAGTCAATCTGCGATACATGTGTCTTGCAATTAAGGTTATACACTCAAGATTGTGCTTTCATAGCATTTCAGGTTAGAGCCTCAAGAGTCAAGATCATGTGAGCAAACAAGTCAAACTTTGTTTCTTTAGTTGTAACATCATTGGTCTAGCGTTAGGAGTATAGCGGAGACTGGACACTGCCACACTGGTAAATTTGAATAAGTATTTTTAAAAATAGCTTGTTTTTATGATATAGCTTATTTTCATATCTTCTTTTTCTAAAAAAAATAATTACTCCTTTTAATTAATAAAAAAACATTTTTCTATATTTTATAATTTATATAATTATCTTAAAAAAATTGGATATATTTTTTTATCGAAAAATATTTTTTCTTTTAAAAAACACAAACAAATTCATGATTATAATATTCACTGTTGGATTCATGAATATGTTAAAAAAATAAATTTTGCATCAGAAAACAAATCAATTCGACAAAAAAAAAATGCCTCTACAATAACATTTGTAGAATACGGCCGTATTAGATTGACTAGTTGAATACTTGTGTGATACGTTTGGCAGTCGCACTCTGAATATGGATTACCCAAGATTGAATCACAATTAAGTGT